CTTTCCCTCCCCAGCCTTTCCCTCCCCAGCCTCTTCCCTTTTTCTTTTTAGCATTTCCTCCACGTTCCCATAACTACTTCTTCTTTCTTTTACACCCCTTATATCCTTACTCGTTAACTCTGCCATTTTCCTTTTTTGCGCGCCCTCTACTCTCACTCTTGTCTCGCTTGTTTCCCAACTTGCCCTTCTCTAATCTCTATACTCCTTGCCCTACTGTCGTGTTGTTATCTCTACCTCTCTTCCCGTCCTGCCTCTCTATAATTTCTATACTCCCTGCCCTAACCGTCACGCTACCTCGCTTCACTATAATTCCTCCTTAGACCATTATTCTCGAGATTCGAGCGACACCTGTGAAAGTGAGAACACGTGCCTTGAGTGCCTCTTATTAATTCGTTTGATAGAAATTATAACTGCCTTCTTCGAGTGCCTCTGCTTCGCCTATAATAACGCTTTATGCTGATTCGCTCGGATCACGCTGAGAACAGTTATCTCCTGCTTTGCTTGTGCGCTGTTTCCTGTGTGCTTTGTACATTCTGTAGTGCGCAGTAATTCGCCATCTTGGCCAGCCGGTCTCCCGGTCGAGCCTTTTCAATCGCAAGCATGTCGATCCAAGATCCCACGAGGGATCCCGCTTTTAAGACAAATCTTTTAACGACTGACGCCTTAACTGTAACAGTTAATAGTATATTGACGAATAATGACGAAGACAAACTCGATTCGATCGCATCCTCTCTCCCTGCCGGCCGGTCTCCCGGTCGAGCCTTTTCAATCGCAAGCATGTCGATCCAAGATCCCACGAGGGATCCCGCTTTTAAGACAAATCTTTTAACGACTGACGCCTTAACTGTAACAGTTAATAGTATATTGACAAATAATGACGAAGATAAACTCGATTTGATCGCATCCTCTCTCCCTCCGTTCCCTCCGGAATCCGATGATGTGATGGAGGCGGAAATGAAAATCGAACCAAATAATAATATTCTTCCTGTTTTAAGGGACATCCTTCCGATCGGTGAGGATTGTGGCATCCAGCCTTTGGAGACTGCTAAACCAAAAACCAAAAAACGTAAGAAACTAGAGAAGGAAAAAGCGCCTCTCTTCACAAATGATGGTAATGAGACGAGTGGGGGGGACGGCTTGCGTCAGGGTAAGCCTTCTCCTTCTGACCCTCTATTTAATAAGGACGGGCTTGACTTGTCATCCCTTATGGATGCGAATAGATATGACAGGACCTCGCAGGATCCTTACGATGTCATTATACAGACTCCGGAGGGTTCTCCCTCCTCGATTGACCCCATCGCTGTAGGTCGCTTCTTGTATTCCATCTCCAAAAAAGATATAGTAGATATTAAAAAGACAGGCTTCTCAAAAATTAGTATTCAGTTGAAATCCAGAGAAGCGGCAAATAACCTAATTTCTAACCCAATACTCAAGGCATTTATACCTTTGTTTAGGACTACGAGGAAAGGAATAATTCGAAATGTTCCACTTGACCTCTCGGACGAGAAGATATATCGGGGAATAGACTGTAGGATAGCGATTTCCTCCGTGAGGAGACTGAACAGAAGGGAAAGGGGTGCAGAGGCATCCGCTCTCCCTGGAGAAACTCAGGGATTGGGCCTGGTCCCCTCCAAAACAATATCCGTCGTCTTTAAAGGACAGATCTTGCCAAGGTATTTATACTTATACATGGTCCGACATCCAGTCGAACCTTTTGTTTTTAAAACCTCTCTTTGTTACACGTGCCTGCGCTTTGGACAGCTCAAGTCCCAATGCAAGGGCCACCCCCGTTGTCAACATTGCGGGGATAGGGCACATGAGGAGGCAACCCAATGCCCAAAAAGAGATGGCCCTCCATTTTGCATAAATTGCAAGGGCCCGCATAAGGCCACAAGCTTCGCTTGTCCGGAGTATGTTGTGCAGAAAAAAATTAGAGAGTTAGCAGCATACGAAAATATTTCCCTAATCGAGGCTAGAAATCGAATTAGAGGCAATAACAATGAAGCCCCTAACCCAATACACAATTTTAGTGAGTATCCGCCACTGAGCGGCACTCCCTCCTCTACGCCCTTCCCTCTTTCCTTCCCCGCTCCATCCACATTCCCCTCTTCTTCCTCAGCCCCTCCTTCCCCTCTCCTTCTTCATCATATTCATAAATCCTAAATCCCAACAAAAAAAAATTATCAACTTCTGCCCCACTTCACATTTCATCTCCTATGCCGTCCCCCCTCTTTTCACACCCTCAAAAAAACCTCCGAGCAGTACCAATCCTTCCCTCCCATCCTTCCCACGTTCGACTACCGGAACTTCCTCCTCCAATCTTTTCCCATCCCATAATTCCCTACTAATCTCTCCTAACGGAAGATTCCCATCCTCCTCGGATTATGGTGTCTCCTCCAGGCATTCTATCCCTTCTCCCACCAACCCTGTTCCATCTCAAACCTCAAAAAGTAACCTTAACTTTGATTTTAACCCAGAGCTATGCAATCAGCTATTCAATCTCATTAACCTAATCATGGAAAAGCTCTCCCCGGCACTGAGACTTCTTGGCCTGTACGACGCAGTGTCGGAATTTATGAACTCCTTCCTATTATCCATAAACCCCCGCAACCCCAGGTCCAACTGTCCAAATGCCGGGATCACCTCGGAATAAACTATCTCAGAATCAGTCTCTTAGGATCCTGTAATGGAACTGCCATTCGCTAGCGAACAAAATAGATCCGGTAAACACCTTGTTTCAGCGGTATGATGTCTTGGCCTTGTCGGAGACTTGGCTGAACCCTGGATCTCGGGTGAACCTGCGTGGTTTTGAGGTGTTCCAGAGGGACTCGCTGACCCGCAATCGGGGGCTTGCTTCTGGCCGTCTGCCGTTCTGTGCCGTTTTCTGTCATAGACGATTGCGTTCGGTTCGGCGGGGGTTTAGAATGCATGGCCATGGTTTTTCACTACGAGCTTTTCGATCTTGCCATTGTCTCGGTGTATAGACACCCGCAAGAATCGCTTTCGAAGCAGGAGTACGACTCCTTGTTTGCCTTTTGTGGTTCTTTTACTCATGTGATCCTTTTGGGCAACTTTAACGCTCACCACAGCGAGTGGGGCTGTGACCGGTCGAGTAGGGAGGGAGTCACCCTGCTCTCCTCGGCATTGGATTCTTCCTTCACCTGCATCAATGACGGATCCCACACCTTTTTGACGCGCCCGGGTCAATCCAGATCCGCAATAGATCTCTCCTTCGTCTCTCCACCGATTATCGACCATTGTGAGTGGAACACATTGGAGGATATTCACTTGAGTGACCATTATCCAATTGAAATCAGATTTAACCACTTCTTGAGAAAGAAAGAATTTTTTTCGCACAGGATAAGATTGTCATCAAGAGAGAGGGAACAGTTTGTGGTCAATCTGGGCACCAGCACCGGAGTCCTTAAGGAGGCTATCGACGAACCCTCTCTGAACGGACTGGATAAGTACGAGACCTTTCTCCTCCATCTGAGGAGCCAGTTGCCTCTTAAACCGGGGGCAAACCGCCGCCGGGGCTCCTCTGGTCGGTCGTCCCCGCACGGGCGAAGAGCCTCCCTTCCGGCTCCGTGGTGGAGCGAGGCCTGCCAGGAGGCGGTGGACCTCAGGCGCGAGCTTCTGTCGACCTTTAAGAAGTCTCCGTCATGCTAACTTCCTTGCATTCAAGAGGCAAGAGGCCGTTTCAAGACAAGTTGTTATAGCCCGAAAAGGCTATACACGAATTAATAGATATATAGTATTTTAGAGATATTCGGGAACCGCGAGAACGAGTAGTTTTGTTAATAAAAATAAAACCGAATCAAGTTACCCGCAAAATAGTCGAAATCAGACACCGCAATGCTTTAAATGCGGAAAAAACGGACATTACGAACGCAATTGTCGAAGT